ATATATTATTAGTAGTAGTAGAGAGAGATATAGTAATAAAGTAAAAGAAGAGAGAGAGAGAGAGAGAGAGAGAGAAAAGTGAACATTTTTTTGCGGAAGCAATTTGCCTCTAACAACCATCAGGCACCAAACAAATAAAATACCTAGCATGCAAAATTATTTGAAGTAGCATGAATCATACTGTTCACGTTAAACAGACTCAGCATTTTCTTTCCAGAAAATGAGACTCTTACACCAAATGATAAACAACTTTGACTAAAGTATGCAGTATTCCAGGCAGGCTTTAAAACAAATATTTGTGTAATAGTAAATTACGAAGACTGGAAAAATCATCATATATAGATGGTTTATGTAACAAGTAGGAATTGTTAGACACAAGTAAAATGAACATTTTATACATTCAGTATAAAAGCATGGCGGGCCCATAATACCCCACCCTACTGGGGGCAGAAAATTTCACCACACCATATAGATTTGTTCTGAGAAATGATTCAGAAAAGTAAAAACTATAGTTGAAATGCTATCACCTAGAAATTCATCAGAACTGATGTGATTCCTTGATATGATAAAAATTTGGAGCAAGTCACACCAAATCAGTCCTCTAAAGGCCAAACCTTTTATGAAATACTTAAAACAGACTGTACAGCTTTGGGATAAAGTACTGGAGCATGCTTTTGAGGGTATAAAGAATCTACTGGCCACATCCCCAGTGCTGGCATTTTATGCTCCCAAGTCTGCAGTCACTTCAGCAGATGCCAGCTGGTCTAGGTGGGGAGCTACTCCAGTTACACACAGAAAATTGGAAGCCTATAAAATATTGTTTCAAATGGCTTTACGTCACCATCTCCAGATATGCCCCATGATGATGTCTAAAGGGGAAGGTGACCATCTATACTAATATGGGTCACCACTTTTACAAAATTGTGATAAATCTTGTACAAAGTATACCTTGTGAGGTATCATTGGAAAATGTCTAATCTGCTGAGTATTATTAGCTGGTTATAATTTGTGTAGAGTGACATGTGTGGAATTATGAAATTTTGCTAGATGTTTGTAACTCAAGCATGTTGTGAGTCTGAGAAATGTCCTCAGGTTAGCTCTTCGGGAATAACAAAGGAACTATAAACAAGAGCCCCTGCATGTCATTCCCAAAGACACCTCAAACAGCACATATGCAAAAGATGCAAGCAAAATTTTGCAATTCATATGAAGAACTGATGGCCAAGCACGTCCACCATGGAACGGCTTGACCCCATAACACAGTAAGCATTTTTTCAGCAAAAAGTGTCAAGACATAAAAAGCGAGAACAAAGGCCCCGGATACCTCTTTGTTACCCCATCTCTGGACTCGTGAATTCTGACAGAGGAAATTTTGAACGAAAGGACTATGGTCCCCAAAAACTATTTGGGCAACATAACAGATTTAACATCCCTGCTATTCATTTTGGAATACATACTTGAATTTTGCTAATAAATCTTTAGTTAGTTTACTAAAGCATTGGGTACAGCGTTGTCCTTGATGAAGGTTCTGAGCATCCATTGACCTGTGTAAAGGACTGGCCCCTTGAGGCTGGAAGAACCTAATGTCTGGTGATTTTTGGTATTAATAACCTATTATCACAGAAGTCCAGTTTGTCTGGATGGTAATATAGGCTGGAGTGTCTAAGAGGACTGTCTGTGGCTCCATATTAAACCAATATAGTGATCCAGGAGCACACATTTGTTGCTGGTTTGGTTAAATCTAATTATTGTATAGAATATACCAGTGTTTCCCAAACTTGGGATGCCGCTTGTGTAGGGAAAGCCCCTGGCGGGCCGGGCCAGTTTGTTTACCTGTCCCGTCCGCAGGTCC